GGAACGGGACGGCAGGCGGCGAAACATGAGGGGTCGTTTCGCCCGCAGAGCTGGAAACCTGCCAGTTCTCCTGCGAGGGGGGGTCAGCTCTTACTGTCAGGTTACCCTCTTGAGATAAAGTGATTTTGTTGCTGTATGATATTTATAAAGGGATGAAAAACTTCCCCAAACCTTCCCGGTGTTTGGTTCTTAAACATTTAAGCATGCACAATTGCACCTTCCTTTCTCTTCATGGATAATTTCACTAGAGTTAAACTTTCAACTGTCAGGAACAACGTGTTGGAGTAACCTGGCAGGCTAATAGGCAAGCTAAGCTGTGTGTACCAGTTGTTAAAAAACAGCTTAGGTTTTACTGTTGCTTCTCATCTTATTTACCTAATGAATCAATCTCATTTCTTTGACAGAGAGAAACTTCTACCTGCAGTTTATTTTACGTATATTTCACGTACACAGTGTAAATGATCAGCAGTTTGGAATTTTCAGAAATTTCAGGTTAACTATCAAGAAATGAAGATTAGGACATCATGTGTTGGACTCCGAAATCTTCTCCAAGGGCTGAACTTCAGTATCAAATACTACTCTAAGCATTACCATCTTCAAACAATATGTCTTTATAGTAAAGTAAACCCCCCAAAATGCCACATCCTGGACTATTCAGGAAGTACATGTGCATCTGGAAGCATCCTGCCGTGGAGATTCTTTTCCTGCAAGGTATGCTGTTTACGTATAGGCTTAGTGTCAACAACCATCTTGGCACATGTTAAGGAAGCCATCCATATTTTTCAAATGTCAAGGAAGCACACTTTTCCTAAAGGGTTTGAAACAGTTAAATACTAGAATTTCAGTTATGTTCAAAGATATATACCATTGTTCAACTTTTCTATACTGTTTCAATGTAAAGCTTCATTTTGGTTGGTCTTCTGGTGCAGCAATTTTTAAAAAATTGATATCTTCCAGAAAGATTCAGGTAAAGTGTCAGGAGAACTGCAGGGAGACATCAGCTAGTATAGAGGCAAAGTGTCCGTACTGATGACACCAGACTTAGCTATTGTGAGCTGGCTCAAAAAAACTTGACTTTTTCTGTGCTGACCATTAAGTCATGATTTGCACCATATTAAATATTAAAATACTCAATTAACTTCTCATAATTGTATTCACATGTGATAAACTATACTTTAAAAGGTAGTTGGGCTTATTTCTGTAAGTAAATACTGTGTAAATAGGTGGCAATGTATCATACGTGGAGTCAGAAATAGTATAAAATAATTTCAGGTCTTCTGTTCGTCTGTTTCTAATAGAGTTTGCTAAAGGTACTGTAAAAGTTTACTGCAGTATGATAACCTGTAAATGGATTTACATGCATAATGCACAAGTACTGTTTAAAAAGGTTGATGTTTTGGTTTATCTTAAACCTGTTCTCCGATGTTCTAAAATTGTTTCAAGTTGACAGTGCTTCTTCAAAGGTGACCAGAAGATCGTCTTCTTGTAACCCTCGTATTTCTAACCATAATGTAAACAGTTCCTAGGTCTGTGTCTGAGATGTAAACAAATGTTTCAGGGAGAACATATCAAGTGTTGATGGATGAGAATTCATAGTCCTGTTTATTCATTGGCAGTTCAGTAACGCAGTTACAAATGCTGGTCTACAGTGCAGGTTCCAGGATATAAACAGGTGATTTTCACCTGAAAGGAAGCTGTGCCCGTTTGCTTTGGAGCAAATATTTGCAAACAGATTGTCACTGAGATCCTCTGCTATCCTCAAAATCTTTCTAGATGCTCTTCTAGACTGCTTTTTTCCACAGGCAGGGAGGTGTACAGTAGCTCTAACATATACCTACACTGTGGCCACTAGCTCTATAATATTTTAAAATAAATACAATGGGAACTGTTGGAAAAAGGATGGGAATCATCAAAGGTTCATAAAGTGTGGACCTTGCCAAAATAAGTTGTGGATGCTAAAATTTTACATAGGTATGACGGGAGACAGTTCATGTGCATGAAAGAGACTTTTTAAATATCCAGAAACCACATTCAGCTCAGGAAATTCCTGAGTTAAAATCGTTGAAGGCTGGGGGAATACCTATTGAGGAATATCCTCTGTGCTTATCCCATTCTTACGCTTTCCTGAGTCCATTTGTGTCCACTGTGGGCTTTCTGTTTGGTTGCTTCAGTTTTGGGGAATGGTGTTTTCTTAGAACAATTTTTGCAGTGAGTGGGGAGAGGGTGGTACAACTAACACATCCTGCAATTTCTTTGCCTTGACCAATTACACAGTTGCTCCAGAGAATCTTTAAGGGCTTTCACGTTTTTTTTTGACTTGTGCTTCTTACTTGATGTACTAGGCTAGAGGGACCATTGGTCTGAACCAGTATGAAACACTCATGTGCTCTGATGAATGATGTGGTTTATGTTCATAGAGAGTTTGGTAACTGGAGCAGAGAGTTTCTCCTCCTTTCAAAGTCTACTTCTAAAATGTGACTCTTACATCTTAGGCATTTGTGAAGACAAACCAGGAACAAACCAGCAGTTCTTGGTGCAAAGTGAGGATGGGGTAAAAAGTATATGCTGCTTTTTAAGTTTAGACACATTCACATAATACATTGAATGTTATAAAATGCAACTTTTGTGTGATCTGTGCAGTGTTAAGTATACATTGTTAAGCTTATTATTCAATCAAAAGAGATTTTACAACAAGCAAAAAGAAGTAGCATTGTTCTAGCATTTTTAACACGCTTTTAATATTTTTACAAGAGAAGACAGCTTTGTTGGCAATGAGGTACCAGTAGTCTGCTCATAGGTCATGGAAAACCAGATCCTTTAGCTTACTCCTGGTTGTTGCAGAAACCGTATCAGTTTACTGCTTCACTTCATTCTGCATCTTATCAACATTTATACAGAGACTTTTGAGGAGGTCGAGCAAGAACCTGAACAAGCTGCTAGGACTCCTAGGTGCAGGGGCAGAGGTGTGGGCGGCATTGTTATCTAGGAAAGGAAATGAGAAAGGATACTCTTAAGGTAGGAAAATTATGAGAAAACACCTCTGAAGAATGAAAATTAACAAAATTTCTTAAAAATGAACTAAAAACTAGTTCTAGAACAAGAACAAACATATTTACATATAATCAATTAAGAGCATACGTTAATAGTGCCTTAAACTTTGAAAAGAAGTTCTCAATAAATGTGTTGGGTAAAGCACATTTGACAGCGTCTCCCTAAAAGATCAGGAAGAATTGAAAAACTTATTCCAACTGTGTTTTTTCTTTTTAATGGCATGTATTACTGTAATAATGCAAAGTTGGTTTTGGGTCTTTAGCTCAGGAAATACCATTACTACCTCAATATGTTCATATTGGAGTACAGAGTGCTGACTTGTAGCCATTGTTGTCTTTCCTTACTTAGCAGGAAGGAACAAAAATCCCTTCCAAAAGGAAGCAAAATACATCCATAATAACATCAGAGCTTTTGTACAAGAATCTTCTGAAATCAGAACAGGAAAACTGGAATGACATTTCAGCAAGATATGAGGCTATGACAAAAAAAATCAAGGAAAAATTAGAAGAATTGCACAAGAAGTATACGTTCAATTCAGGAAGCCCAAGGGTAAGTAGCAAAAAATACAAACATTTCTTGTCATTGAGTGCAAATAAAAAGCAGTGAAGTCATTCCT